AGGCCCGAAACGTCAACCTCTCTGCTCCTATGATGCTGCTTGGCCTGCTGTGTTCATCCAGCCCTGCACCTTGTTGTCTCGGATTCTCCAGCATCTGCAGTTCCTACTATCTCTGCACTTTTTTTAACTGGGTTATAATTAACAACCAATCAAACACTTGGAAAGCTGGACTGGAGTTGTCAAAACTAAACAGACCAATTGCTTGAAAGAATTTAAACCCGTTATCTGACAAATTCACTACTTGCCCTTGTTAAAATCAGGTATAACAGTTTAAAGATGGGCTGACAATTTCAGGTACAGCACAGTTTATTTTATTTGTCCCCACATGAGTTGAAGAAACAAATAGGCTACTGGAGCTTTTATTCATTGTTCTCAAAGAAAATGTGCAGGCCTGTTTTATGCAAAGGCTTATTTTCTCGAAGACGAGTTGTAGCTGCATAATTTAAAATAAAGGAATTCTTGTATTCATAGAAGCAAAGAAGATAGGAGCAAGAGGAGGCTATTCATCATGACCATGGCTGATCGTCCAACTCAATAGCCGAATCCTGCTTTCTCCCCATAACCTTTGATCCCATTCGCCCTAAGTGCCATATCTAGCCGCCACTTGAATACATTCAATGTTTTGCCATCAACTAATGCTTGTGGTAATGAATTCCACAGACTCAGCACTCTTCGGGTGAAGAAATGTCTCCTCATCTCCATTCTAAATGGTCTACCCTGAATCTTCAGACTCTGACCCCTGGTTCTGGACACACCCACCATTGGGAACATCCTCCCTTCATCTATTCAGTCTAGTCCTGTTAGAATTTTGTAAGTCTGTATGAGATCCCCCCTCATTCATTTGAACTCCAGCAAAAACAATTCTAACTGAGTCAATCTCTCCTCATATGTCAAGACACTCCCTTGAGAGCAAGAGCATCTTTCCTCAGAAAAGGAGACCAAAACTGCACATAATATTCTAGGTGTGGCCTCACCGAGGACCTGTATAACTACAACAACATATCCCTGCCCCTGTACTTTAAACCTCTCACGATTAAGGCCAACATACAATTTGCCTTCTTTACTGCCTGCTGCACCTGCTTGCTTACCTTCATGGTTTATTTGAGTATTCCTATCATTTGCACTTACATATTTTAAAATTGTGTGTGTGTGGCCGAGTGTGAAAGCTGTTCTTTTCCCTTTCATTTCTTTCCAACCCCATCTCTTCTTCTGATCTCACTCTTGCTGTATTTTAGTGATATCCTTCACCCTTGCTCTCTGACCTGAGCAATTTGTTCTTATTAAAGATCTCATCTACATCTCTTTATGCTCTACCTTGATGAGGTCTGTACAGTCCTGAGCTGCTTCTTGCATCACCTTCATTCTCATTTTTTTGTCCACAAACTTTGCTCTGTGCAGTGGACTTGTTCCCCTCTCCAGTGCATAAAATCCTGTTTAAAGTTGCCAGTTTTAAGTTATTTTGCTGTATTGTCTGTTTCCACCACATGAAAAGTGTGAACTGGCTTTTCTGTCCAACATGAATCTGTATCTTCATCGATTAAAATGCACTTAACTATGTTCTGCTATGAACAATAAGTAGCCAATCGACAAGGTTTTTTTAAGTCAAAGGAATAAATTTTTGTCATGTTAAACTTGAGAAAGTAATACAAATATGACATCAAGCACACAACTACTGTAACCACATCTGGACACCCATGTACATAGTTAAAGGGAAATTGTGTCCAGTACAAGGGAAAATTAAAAAGTTTAGAATCCTTTAGTTAACTTTGAAGCTCAGGTTTTTTTAACCTGAGGCTGATGTTGTTTAGTTGGCATCTTGCATGTAGCCAGTTGTAGTGAACGTTTGAACGAGTGAAAAGATCTTATTTCGTAATCAATATTCTTTTGGGACTTATTGCATTTTGCAAAACAGGGTGTCACTTCCAGAAAGAGAGAGCGAGAGAAAGAGTCCTTGTTCTAGATGTTACTGCAAGGCTCTGGATGTTACGCTATCGTTCTGGACCCATTTAGTAAAAGCTACAGATAATCATGCTTCTCCTAAGAATCATAGAAACCGTACAGCGTGGAAACAGGCCATTCAGCCCAACAAGTCCACCCCTCCAAAGAGCATCCCACCTCAACCCATACCCCCACCCCTGCAATTCCCTTGTCTAACCCATCTAACCTAAACATCCCTGGGCACTATGGGCAATTTAGCATACCCTGCACATCTTTAGACTGTGGGAGGAAACCAGAGCACCTGGGAGCAGAAGATTTTCTTGCCCATGTTTGACCTGATAATATGAGATTTAATGGGACTCCCGAAGCATTGCCACCTTATAACACTGCATTGCCACCTTATAACACTGCATTGCCACCTTTGGAGAATTTGACTGGTCAGTGGGATAGGACACACTCCGGGATGGTGAAACCGAGGATATTGTGTTTAAGGTGCAATTCTGAGTATGACTATGTTAGTCTGTTGTTTGACCAGTCTGTGGGACGCCAGTCCCAATCTTGGCACGTGCCCCCAGATGCTACGATTTTGCAGGGTCAGCACACTGACTTTTCCATCATTGTTCCTGGTGCCGAGGTCAATTCTCAAAGGTCCATACAGTTTCATTCCTTTCTTTAGGCTTTGTAGCAACTGAGTGATTTGCTGATTCATTTCAGATGGCAGGTAAGAGTCAACAACTTTGCTGAGGGTCTGGAGTCATATGTAGGCCAGAACAGGTTAGGACAACTGATTTCCTTCCCTACCATGGGTTTTAAGACAATTGACAATGGTTACATGGCTAAAGTTTTTGAGAAGATTTGTAGCTCGGGTTGTGGACGAGGTTGTAGACGTGCTCGCCAAACCGGTGTGTATGGTTGCAGATGTTTCGTCATCCTGCTAGTCAGTGCGCCTCCAGTGAAGTATTGATATTCTGTCCCACTTGTTATTTATATGCCTTGGTTTGCTGGGGTGGCTGGTATTACTTCTGGTTTTGTTTCTCAGTGGTTTGTACACAGGGTCTAATTCAACGGGGCAGCACGGTGGCTCAGTGGTTAGCACTGCTGCCTCAGAGCGCCAGGGGCCTGGGTTTGATTCCACCCTCGGGCCACTGTCCGTGTGGAGTTTGCACATTCTCCCCGTGTTTGCATGGGTTTCCTCCGGGTGCTCCGGTTTCCTCCCACAGTCCAAAGGTGTGCAGGCTAGGTGGATTGGCCATGCTAAATTGCCCGTAGTGTCCAGGAATGTGTAGATTAAGTAGGTTATGGGCGGATAGGTCTAGGTGGGATGCTTTTTGGACGGGTGGTGTGGATTTGTTGGGCCGAAGGGCCTGTTTCCACACTGTAGGGATTCTATGACATGATGATTCAATGTAACAAAGTGTGTAGTGAAACAACCACCTAACTAATCCAATCCCACTTTCCAGCTCTTGCCTATAACCTTGTATGCGTTTGGCATTCCAAGTGTACATCTAAATACTTTTGAAATATTATGCGGGTTTCTGCCTCTACCACACATTACAAATAGCGAGTTCCAGATTCCCACCACGTTCTAGGTTAAAAAGAAAAAATTTCCTCTCATCTCTTCTAAATCTTCTCACCCTTAACTTTAAATCCACGCCTCTTTCTCATTGCTCCCCCCATCAAGGAGGAAAGTTTCTTCATGTTGAACCTACCTATGTCCCTCCTAACTTTATACATCTCAATCATGTCCCCTCTCAATATCCTCTGCTCTCAGGAAAATAACCCAAGTCTGTCCAATCTTTCTTCATAACTGAAACTCTCCAGCCCAGCCAACATCCTGGTAAATATCCTCTGCACCCTTTCCAGTGCAGTCCCATCCCTCCTATATTGTGGATTCCAGAACTACACACAGTACTGTTCTTAAACTCTATGCCTCGACTAATAAAGGCAAATGTACCATATGTCTTTTTTAACCAATTTGTCCACCAATCCTGATACCTGAAGGGACCAGCGTACACGTACACCAAGGCATCTCTGATCTTCGGTACTTCCCAGGGGTCCTACCATTCATCATGTATTCCCTTGCCTTATTTGTCCTGCCCCAAGTTCATCACCTCACATTTATCTGGATTGAATTCCATGTGCCACTGATCAGCCCACCTAACCAGCTGGTGTATATCCTGTAGTCTAAAGCTCTGCTCCTCACTATTTATCCTCACTATTTAACACCTTAACAGTTTTTGTATCATCTCTGAACTTACTGATCAACTCTCTTGCATCCAAATCTAAATCATTTATATAAATTACCCTGCACATCTTTAGACCGTGGGAGGAAACCAGAGCACCCGGAGGAAACCCAAGCATACACAGGGAGAATGTGCCCAAGGCTGGAATCGAACCCAGGTCCCTGGCGCTGTGAGGCAGCAGTACTAACCACTGAGCCACCATGCCACCCACGGTGGGTT